TCCTTCCTTCTTTCTTTCCTTCCTTCCTTCTTTCCTTCCTTCCTTCCTTCCTTCCTTCCTTCCTTCCTTCCTTCCTTCTGTCCTTCCTTCTTTCTTTCCTTCTTTCTTTCCTTCCTTCTTTCCTTCTTTCCTTCTTTCTTTCCTTCCTCAGGGGAGCCAATCCTAGTTTACACAATGCGTTCATCCATTCCTTTTCATGGGATAAACAGGCTTATCTCTGCGTTTTTCTCCTTTCTTCATCATCTACCTGCTCCCTGGTTAATCTTTGGACTGTAGGTAGTCCTCGACCTTACGACCACAATTTGAGCCACAGTCTCCATTGCTTCTTTCCTTCCTTTCCATCTCTCTTTCTTTTTCCTTCCTTCTTCCCTTCCTTCCTTTCCTTCCTTCCTTCCTTCCTTTTTTCCTTCCTTCCTTCCTTCCTTCTTTCTTTCTTTCCTTCTTTCTTTCTTTCCTTCCTTCCTTTCCTTCCTTCCTTCCCTTCCTTCCTTCCTTCCTTCCTTCCTTCTTTCTTTCCTTCTTTCTTTCCTTCTTTCTTTCCTTCTTTCCTTTCCTTTCCTTGCCTTTTCTTTCTTTTTTTCCTTCTTTCCTTTTTCCTTCTTCTTTCCTTCCTTCTTTCCTTCTTTCTTTTTCTCTCTGGTCTCTTTCTCCAGGTCCTTTAGTCCAGGTTCTCTTCCTGCCACTCCGGCGAGGTAGGCTAGGAACTCTCCTTTGCCATCCGAATTTGGTTTATCCTTGGCCAAATGTTTGCTTTTCTGTGTTTGCAAAGATGGGTAAATATTCTGGTCTTGGCCGCTGCTAAAGCTTCTTTCTGTCTTGTCGCTCTTCTCCTTTCCCAAATCCAGGGGTTTCTTTTTTAAAAAACAAGTTGGCTCAGCGTCTGGACGCTTCAAAAAGAGGCAACACACCCACAAAAACACAGAGACATGCAGACAGAGACACGTAGATGCTCACCACACCTTTTCCCCACTTAGAACTTGTGGTGCTAAGGTGCTAAAAATATTATTTTATACAATTGTGCCTTTTTAATCTCTTTTCTGGGCCTTTGGTGTGTATTCCCGTGGTTGAGCATGCCTGAGATCGGTTTTATAACAACGACAAATCAGAATAGAGTTGGAAGGGCCCTTGGAGGTCTTCTAGTCCAACCCCCTGCTCAAGCAGGAGATCCTATACCATTTTAGATAGGTGGCTGTCCAGTCATTTCTTAAAAACCTCCAGTGATGGAGAACTCACGATTTCTGGTGGCAAGCTGTTCCACTGGTTAATTGTTCTCAATCAGAATAGCGCTGGAAGGGACCTTGGAGGTCTTCTAGTCCAGCCCCCTGCTCAAGCAGGAGAACCTATACCGTTTCAGACAAGTGACTGTCCAGCCTCTTCTTAAAGACCTCCAGTGATGGAGCACCCACGATTTCTGGTGGTAAGCTGTTCCACTGGTTAACTGTCCTCACTGTCAAGAAGTTTCTCCTTAATTCCAGATTGCTTCTCTCCTTGATCAGTTTCCAACCGTTGTTTCTTGTCCTGCCTTTCAGATGCTTTGGAGAATAATTTGGTCCCCACTCCTTTGTGGCAGCCCCTCAGATACTGGAATGCTGCTATCATGTCCCCCCCTAGTCCTTCTTTTATCTAGACAGGCCATACCCAATTATTTTATGCATAAGGGCTGCAGGTGGACATAAAAAAAAACTTTGCAATTTTAGTGCTGAATTTTAGGGACTGGGTATATCCATCGCTTGTTCTATTGCAGATTATTCCTCAAGG